GTTCTTCCACATGAGTAATGATTTATTGTAGTAATGTAGACGGTAATCATACAGCACAAAGTAATTGTGGAGAGGGAGTTGCGCTTCTCAACTCAGTGCTGCTTTATTTTGTAAACAGCTAATAGCCAAAATTTGCTGTGCTTTAATATTTTTCCCTTTAACCTTTGTTCTTGACTTGACTTTGTTATAAGTCAGACATTCATCATTTACTGTTGACTCAACCTCTCACAGAGGCCTGACATCAATCAGATATTACTGAGACGTGTTGTCAAATAACAATAAAATGCAATTATTAAACATGTGACCTCTGGCTTGGAAAGCTCCGTGTTGTTGATTTTAAAAGCTTACTTCTATGATGAGTGTGCTAATTTAAATCCCACTTGGTAGTTAACAATGGAGTAAGGTCAGACTGTATAGTGTTGTTGGCGGTGAGTAAGCCCAACTGTTTTTTTTTTGGAAAATAAACGAAATAAATCCTGATCACAGATCTCTGCCAACGCTTTTTAATTCTCTCAGTTCGTTATTTAGATACTGGAAAATATCAACATTCTTCAAGTCCTCTGCTTAAATGTTTGTTGTGTCTGCTTCAGTGATCTATGAGGGATCTGCTGCTTGGTGCTTCTGGTCCAAATGCAATTATGGGAATGACTTTATTTTACTTCATTTGACAGAAAGCTATTCCACCGTGATTTTTGACCATTAGATAAACAAATGTCTCTGTAAGTGAATGAAGTCCTGATTAACAGCATTGGTTAGAATCATTTCTACAGTTTTAGTTTGAAAATTAAACAAAAAAAAGGAAAATTCAGGTGGAAAAAAACATGAATTGGAATAATAAAAAAAAACTGGAGAAAACTGAAATAACTTTTATGTAATGTAATATGCTTTGTTCATATTGTTTAACATACTGCCATTAAAAATGTCTTAAATGTTAACATTTTTAAACATTTGAAGTATTTGAAGAACAAACAAACAAAAATAAACTCGAAATAAACATTCAAAACCAATGAAAACGACAAAACTACGACGACACACACAACAAAAGTTTCTCTTTGTAGGGATACCCCATATTAACCACATACGAGAGTGTTTCTATTTTAAAATATCACCAAACTGCTCATTAAAAGACAAAGACAGATGACTTTTAACCAGGAGAGCTGAGTGCACGATGCACGGGGGACTGTTGAGTCATTGCTGCTCGCATGTTTGGTTAAGCTTAGGCACTAAAATGTCTCAGATATGGAAGAGACTGTGATTTGGTTACAGACAGAACATTTCGTGATACCAAACACATGCTGGTTAGTAGCTGACAAGTTGACAACAGCAGCACATATTTTGCTGCTGAAGGCAAAAACAGCCTGTGGAGAATCAGCATCAAATACACACACAGTGACACGCTGGTAGACATTTTTATTGGGTTATTTTTCATCTACCCACAAGTTCAGTAGTCCGTGCAGTGACGACTTAACTGTTGTCTGTTTTTTTTCCTGCCAAATATTAAAACAATTGAAATAAAAGGTTCCTTGAAATAGAAAAAGAAGCTACGTGTCGAATAACAGACTTTTCATACACTGCAAAGGGGTCTTCAGAGTACCAGCATCCTTTATGTGTATTGTCTTTCTCACTATCATAAAGATTTGTATGAACATGCCTGACTTTAGTTCCCTCATTCAGCCAGCATCTACATATAAGTGAACGTTGAGGAAAATAGTGGCCGGTGATTTCTCTCTTCGTTCAGGAAAGACTGGCTGTGATATCAGTCATCATCGAGCATAACATTTATTCAGGCAAAGGTGTAAAAGCTGTGGGCTTTACTTGAGTGGTTTCACCCTTTCTAGCAGATGTTGAACCTGCTGCAGGGATTTGAATTTCCCCTTCGGCTACAAGAGCAGATGATGAGGTCTTCAGTCAGTGTTCGAGTTCATCCTGCAGGTTTTTAATGGGACCTGGTGTTTAAGTTCTTCCACATCAAAGTGAGAACATTTTGTGCGCAGCTGGTTTTGTGCACAAAAGTGTTTGATCGCAATAGGTGAAACTGTTTTAAACTGTTTTAAAAAGTAAGACTTCGTAAATTAGCTCATGCGTCAGTTCAATAAGGAAGATCTGGATCCCTCATCTTGCTGTTTGCTCGGGTGTTCAGCTGCCAGTCTGTTCTTTACATCACTACCACTTTCCCACGCTGTCAAACTCAAAGCTGTCATCATTTCATTAATCCAGTCGTTTTCTTTCCTGCCTTCTTTTAGCCAGTCAGCCTCCAGTTTGCATCCTTTATTCTTTCCCTCGTAAAGACGAGGCCTGGCGATGTCCATGGTACCCTTAAGGACGAGTTTTGAAACTTCAGTATACATAAATAAGGACCTGGTTTGAGGACTATTAAAATAGTTTCCAAGGGTAGCTCCAAAGCTAGAGACCTAGACCCTATACTGCAGGTGCCCAGTCCTAAATCCTGTCACCACTGGGATTCCATTCTGCCACAATGGATCATTGGAGTCTAATTGCCAAATACATTCATTGATTTCTCTGTCTCAATAAATCATGTTCAGTTCTTCCAGATGAACTAACAATTGCTAGTTTGCTGAAATCATTAAGTAAATGAGGAAATTGATGATGCTACTGAAGGGTTCCCTATAAACATCAAAAATAGGATTGGTTGTAAGGGATTGGACAGCCTGCCTGTAAGATCACTAATAACCCAAACAGTTACCACCATGGACTTCTTAAGGTGGAGCAGTTCACCCTTTTATAATGCGTACTGTGCTTCTCAAACATAACAACAATACAGCTGCTGCTGAGAGATGGAAAAGCACTCTGGGAAGTTTATTTCTCACTTCCAGTTTGGATAAAAAAGAAGGTAGACTGTCGGAGAGCGTTATTCACATACAGTAATGAGTGATTTAGCCGGCTGTAATTAGTGACCATAGAGAGATGGATGTCTGCTAAATGGCTAAAACAGTATTAAATTATGGTGTCATAGCACAGACGTCTTTCATAGACTAACCCATTCGTTTGGACGAGATAATCCAGTGTCTCTGAAAACTGCTAAACTACACACACGTTAATCTAGGCAGATTAAATTTATTGCACATCTAATAATATTGGAGACAATGCTTTAACATAAGAATTCCTTTGCTTTGCAGGCAAGTAACGCTAAGTTATCCGCTAATCCTAGCTTGCTTGGGCTGCATTCATAAAGTTGAATGAGAGGAACGCAGAGATGCAGATACCTGCTAATTAGTGCTAAATAATCAACTGTTGCACACATTTCTTGGACAGTCTATTCTTTGATGGCTGTTTTAATCAACAACACTATTGAATATTCACTGGGAAGTATTAGACTGTACTTAAACTATCCTCAAATGTCCAGCACGTCTGTCTCCAGTGGATCTAATTTTTCGTCTTTTGAACTTTTTGACAACTATCATCTTTTGATTTGCATATTTTTCCCTTTTTTGGAGGAACGTGTCATCTCAAAGACAGATGACGTTTACTGATCTGATGCCTGGTTGTTAATGAGTTCTTCTTCCATTGCTGCCACCTTCTAGCTGTAGGAGCAACTTACATCCCCCTTGTACTGAAAAACCAAAGAAAAATATATATATTCAAGAGAAAACATAGTTGGTTAAACTTCAGTATTTTCTAGCTAACTTAAAGGAAATGTAAACATTTGAAAATCATGGTTCTTCCCATCTGTACCTCAAGTTATTTTTCAGATAAACAAATAATCAATAACATGCACACGTGCATTTTTCAGCAGGTATTTAACCGATCTGTGTATTGTACAGATTGAATGCTCCATCCTGCACGGTTGCCTTAACAGTCTCCTGCAGGGCGTGAGAGGTGTTGTCCAAAATGGACATTATCTTGGCCAACAGATTTCTGGAACACTCTGTAAGCTTGTCAAAGGAGCTTGCAAAGAAAAGCGTCTGGACTTCTTTAAGTTAACTTCTTTAAGTCTGTAAGCATGTTTACTCGGGAGTTTTGACTTGCTTTTGGACTTAATTTGGACTTAATTTTTGACTCTTCACATTTTCGTATTTCATTTTAATTTCCCAGCTTTTAATTTCTTTATGCTTTACCACCTTGTTGGTTTTGTCTTTTTCATAGAGATTATTAGCAATACCAAATCAAATCAAACATCAGTGCAGAAAGGTGGCAGAAATTTGCCCTGACTGGGTCATTCAAATACTTTGAAGGGTCACACAGGGTCGTACTATGGAACGTATCAATTCATGGGCTCTGACTGAAGGTGACGGATCAGAGCATAAACGCTCTCAGTGTCTGCATCTTCAGGAATCAGAGTAATGCTGACCTGAGCACTGGCTTCCTTCCAGATCAAGTAAAAATGGCAGCTTGTTAATCCAGTGTCTGTGCATTGCTTTAATCCCGGTCCTGGGTACATGCCAGCAAACTCTGCAAGTGAGCCTGTGGGGCTGGTTTTAGGAGCTGCCTGGCCCTGCATCATTAGTATGTGTGAAGTCGCTGTAAACATTTGATTAATTGCTGAGAAGCAATTACAAGCAATTAAAGTCCTATTATGATGGCAGTGAAGGACAACGCAAGTTAATCTGGCTATCATCACGATAATTAGCTCATCATTTCCTCACCAGGCCTAATGTACAGAAAATAATAAATAAAAAGGGCAATTTTTGGTTTTCTTGCTTAAGCTTTGCTACAATGTGTGGTCATTTTAAGCAAAGTGGCCTTTGTGTTTTGGGGCATATCATTCTCGCTGTGTAAAAACGACGTACCATTAAACCTCTCAAACTTCATTAGGCACACTTTGCGGTATCACTTGCAAATCTTCGCATGGCGACTGAGTGACAAAGCATTTTCTCTCTCTGTTCTGGTTCTAACCAGTCGGTTTTGTGCTTTGAGCATTTCTAGTGTGGCATTTGCAGAACAAAAAGTCTCACACTCAGTCGTTCTTTTTCTCCCTCTTTCACCCTCCCTGCCCCTCTTCTGTCTCCTTTACTCTTTGTTTTTCTTTCCTCCCCCTCTAGCAACAACCAAACTACTGGAGCTTCAAGGTCAGTGCCAATATTGTGTTTGTGTTTCAGCGTAAATCTGTGCCTCTGTGTGGATTCGTCTCTTAATAGGATAACTCCATTGTGTCTTTGCATGCCTGCTTCTCCACTGCATTAGCGCTGGTCACACGTTGGCACTCACTTCTGCATTTAACTCTTTTAACACTCTTGTGCTGCATGCTGCGACATTTCTCCCTCAGAGTGTTCACATAAGAAAGAAAAAATCCCTGCATGAATCAAATAAGTGCTTTGGTTCACTTTAAACTATGCAAGTAAGATTTCTGATATGCAATTATTGAACACAATATGCCTGTTTCATCAAATATGAGGCAAGAAAAGGTCCAGTTCAGCCTGAGAGCTGCTGGCTGGAGCTTAACTTACTGCTGCTGCTCGCTAAAATTTCCCTATAAAAAGGCACTGTACCAAGCTTGTTATTGGCTGTCTCCAGACCTGCAGATCCCTGCCTACAACTCCCATGTTGTCTATAATTCAAATTAAGCCTGGTGTTGGTCTCTGATGGTAAAACTAAATCAATGAGAGTTTAGCAGGCAGGATGTGCAGTGGGATTGTCATTAGTGACAGAAATATGGATCAGATTGATTCTGTTCTGCAGGTTGTGCAGATGAATTATTCACCTGTTTGATTGCTCTGATAAATATTTGTTACTTGCATCATAACTAAAGCTAAGATTCCCACAGATTGAGATTTGATGTATGATATGCAAATATGTGCACGCATGTATGGGGCTAGTTTTGCTGTGCACAGGGTTTTTAATCAGCAGTCTTTAGATATATTATCTCTCTGAGTTTCTTCTGTGCAGGTAATGTAAGTGCCACGCACTTTGTGACAATCAATATTTGAGCAACAGAATTAGCCGTTGCTCCATCAAGTTTTATTATCTTGTGAAAGAACTTTATTGCCAACATTTTGGACCTCATCTGTTGAAGGTAGTCTAATTCGCCAAAGCAGAGCGAGGGCTATGATAAGCAGCTGCAAGATGGTGAAGTATAGGGAGTAACTAATTCAGGACCGCCACAATAGCAATGTGGCCATCGGGGAGGTTGGTAGACAATACAACAGCAGTCCCCAACCTTTTTTGCGCCACAGACCGGTTTATGTCCGACAATATTTTCACGGACCGGCCTTTAAGGCGTCACCGATAAATACAACAAAATAAAACCAGTACCAAAACATTGAAGATTTATTCATAACACACAGGAAAAGTCCCAGGGAAACCGAGTTAACGATAAAAACCGTTAAAAACCGATTCACACCCAAGCCTCAACTCTTGTGGACCGGTACCAAACAACTCACGCACCAGCCGGGGGGGACAGCTGCGATACAAGACAGCTGGTTTGCAACCGAAGACCAAAAGGGTTGTTTTTTTAGTAACATGGATAACTTCATCCGTTCTCTGAGATGGATAAAGAAGATCTAAGTCTATAAATAGGGGTATCCCACCGAAGTAAAGTCTGTGTGTAGGAAACATGAAGTGCGATCGTGGCTCAAGAGTTGGGAGTTCGC